GGTGACAGAAAAGTAGAAGGAGCTGCTTATGAAAATTTAGGGAATGGCTATTATATATTAGGAGAATATCACAAGGCGATTGAATATTATGAAAAGACTCTAGTCATTGCTAAAGAGATTGGTGACAGACGAAGAGAAGGAGTTACTTATAAAAATTTAGGGAATGCCTATGATTCATTCGGAGAATATCGCAAGGCGTTTGAATATTACGACAAGAGTCTGAGCATAGCTAAAGAGATTGGTGACAGACATGGAGGAGAAGGAACTGCTTATGGAAATTTAGGGATTGCCTTTGATTCATTAGGAGAATACCACAAGGCGATTGAACATCACGAAAAGAGTCTGAGCATAGCTAAAGAGATTGCTAACAGACATGGAGAAGGAACTGCTTATGGAAATTTAGGGATTGCCTTTTATTCATTAGGAGAATACCACAAGGCGATTGAATGCCACAAAAAGAGTCTGAGCATAGCTAAAGAGATTGGTAACAGACAAGTAGAAGGAGCTGCTTATGGAAATTTAGGGATTGCCTTTTATTCATTAGGAGGATACCACAAGGCGATTGAATATTACGAAAAGAGTCTGAGCGTAGTTAAAGAGATTGGTATCAGAGATATACAAGCAAGGTGTCACCTGTATATAGGTACGTAATATATGCTGGAAATGAATTCTTGGAACTGCTTAAAGGCCTGGTAGTAAATATATTTATATTACTAATTAGGCGATGAATTGCGTCTAATATTTATTTTCATGATTACCATGCCAAGAACATTTCTATATTGTTATATTTGCAAAAAAATGTTTTACTGTTGAATTTGCTTAAAATAATAATGATAAAAAAGTCGAAAAAATATCAACAACACAAATCCAAACTCCGAAAATTCGCTTATCGGCTGCAATATTCACAGTTCAGTGGTATATTACAGCAGTATTCTATTGACCCTGCAAGTATGTACAAGATCGAACACCTCACATGAAAATTCGTAATGGCCACAACCATTTGTTAGTTAGATTAGTCAAGGAGCAAGTGTATTCCCGTGGGAATTTAGTGATGAAAGTAAACCACTAAGCCAGATGTCTTCATAGGATCCTAACGAACATGAAAAGTTTTGATGGCAACTTTGTAACATGTTGGGGAGCAATTTAGAGGGGTTCTAAACTCTGCCCNAAGTCAGGTCATCCCATTGTCCTAAATCATGTCAAAGTAGACAGATTGCAATAAGATACAAATTGCAGTTATGTGTGTAGGTTTGGCGTGATTTGGCTTAACAGGCATCGATATAATTTCGTTTTTGGATGCAGCCTCGTTTTCATGCAAATTAGGTCACGTGATTATACCGTCGAAACATGCCAAATTAAGAAGAACATACAGGGCAATACTGCTTGCGAGTTTGGTTTGATTTGGTTAAAATATTGCAAAGTTATTAGCACTTTTGTGTTCAAGCCTCGTTTTCATGCTGGATTCCATAGAGCACAGTTTAGAACCCCCCAAAATTGCTTCCCAACATGTTACAAAGTTGCCATCAAAACTTTTTATGTTCGTTAGGGTCCTATGAAGACTTCTAGACTGGTGGTTTGCTTTCATCACTAAATTCCCACGGGATATTATTTTCTGACATTTGCTCGATGTAATGATTTGATGCAAACATACGTTTAAATGTATTATCATTTTAATATCTAATATTACATACTAAAATCAGAAGTATTACTGACTAAAATCAAATAATATATTCTTATTAGTCACAACATCATTTTGGTATCAAAAAAACTGTCTTCTGTTCTGACTATAAAGTTAATGTTGAAGCAAGTACATGTAAGTCTAATTCTAAGCCGTAATCGTCTTTCTATTTAAGGTATTTTTTATAAGCAAGAATCGAGAATGAAAGAACTCAGCAAATCAAAACAGCACCTAGAGAAGAGCATACAATGCTTCGAGAAATTGTTTGATGATTTAAAAGACAAAGACTAATTCAAGGTTTCAATTCTCGATATATTCATCGTAACCTACAAGCTTCTCAGCGAAGTCTATATCGCAACAAGACAAAGTGAAGAAGCTCTCTTAGTATGTGAACACGGGAGAGCACGTGCTTTGAGAGATCTCTTGTCCCTTAAATACAACACAACCGAGAAAGCAGAAACAAAAGCACTGGAACCTGCAGATGTCAAGACAATTTCCTCTCATCGTGAAGTCTGCATTCTTTTTTACAATCTTGATTTTAACAAAGTTGCTTATCATAGCTGGGTCATATCATACCGAAATCCATCTACCTTCTTTTACGATGAAATGGACAACCGCGATGCTTTGGCAACAATTTTGTCGAGCCTCTGTGATGATGAGAGAAAACATACCGAAGCGGRATATTTTCAATATCTCGTTGACAACTGTTTCCAGCAGCTGAATGTTAGAGAAGGAAAAGGAATGACATGCGAAGACAGATCAATGAAATCACTAGAGCATGAAGACCTGGAGTGTGCAACCTCGACAAACTCCTCGCAGCTTAGTGAAAATGCTCTCAAAGCTTTTCAAGATGTTGACAGATGCATTCTTGACGAAGAAGACGATGACATGGTGCCTCTTGATATGCTTTTCTATAGACTAGTTTCCCCAGTACTGGACCAGCTGACCCACGACGAGGTGATTATCATCCCTGACGGTTATCTTTTCATGGTGCCATTCGCTGCTCTTCAAGATCCAAAAACCGGCAAGTATTTATCGGAAACCAAACGCATTCGACTGGCTCCTTCTCTGACGACGTTGAAAATTCTACAAGAATCCTCATATGACACGTATTGCAGGGTAATTACATTAATATGCTATGCATCTCATTAAAAAGGTTTCTAGAGAAAATACGAGATAAAAATATACCTCTCTTGATGTTTTTTAGCCACGTTTTCTCGTTATTCCACTTGCACAAGCACTGAACGAGGCACTTGTCATAAAAGCGGGAAACATTAACGTCAAACTTGAACATCAAAATTGTTTTGAGAAGTTGAATTGAGTGTTTTTGTATCTCGGCCTCGTTCTTCAAAATATGTACCTCCTCATGAAGCACAAGCCAGAATCCCACAAAGAAGAATGTTTGGACCACACAAAACTCTTTAAACTTTGTTGAATAAGCAAACAAATTATCTATGTTTGCAAACGATTCAAATGGTGGATGTTTTTACATTCCCATACAGGGAAAAGAAAAACATCGCAAAAGAAAGTTGGATAATATGTTGGGTAATCAGTTATTTTTCTTTTGACCTTGACGTTAAGCATTTTTTATTTTTAGTCAGGTGCTCTGATCATTGGAAACCCCACTACTGGACATGTCAGTCGTAATGGTCGTACAGTGATATTCTCCCCGTTACCCGGTGCCGAAGATGAAGCCATACAGATTAGTAATCTTCTTGGTGCACAGCCATTGATAGGGACTCAAGCAACAAAAGAAACAGTCCTAAGAAGACTTCAACAAGGTGTGTCAATTATCCATTTTGCTGCACATGGTAGTAAGGAAAATGGACAGATTGCTCTTGCTCCCTCTAAACCTACGACGTACTCGAGTCCAGCAGAGGAGAAGGACTGCATYTTGACCATGAAAGAAGTACAAGAGAGTGGAATTCATGCTCAACTGGTTGTCCTCAGCTGTTGCTACAGTGGTCGAGGAGACRTAAGGTCTGAAGGAGTTGTTGGAATGACTCGAGCCTTTCTTGCTGCAGGAGCTCGTGCCGTTGTAGCGTCAYTGTGGGCCATTGATGACACAGCAACAAAKKTYTTCATGCTGAAATTCTATTCCCATCTTAAGAATGGAGASAGTGCRAGTAAGAGTCTGCAGCAGGCAATGAAGGACATGAGAGAKATATACGAGGARCCVATGTWCTGGGCTGGATTCTTTCTGATTGGAGACGATGTCACCATCACAGTGTGATTGAACATTAATTAGATAATTGGAAAATTTGAGTAACTTCAAATTCATCTATTGATTGACACATGTTTTTCTTTATAAAGCTTTATATAGTTGCAAGAATAGTTGCAAGAACATAGATTTAAACAGTGATATTTTATTGAATATCACATTAGAGACAGTTTAGAGAGCGGGAGGAAGACACGAGGGGTCGGGGATATCGGGTGTAACTCAAAGAAAAACT